ATTGGAGGAGGTGCAGTTTCGTGGAAATCCACAAAACAAACGTGTATAGCTCGATCAACAATGGAATCGGAGTTCATCGCTTTAGATAAAGCTGGTGAAGAAGCCGAGTGGCTTAGAAATTTTCTATCCGATATTCCATGTCGGGATAAGACTTTGTCGCCTGTGATGATTCACTGTGATAGTCAAGCTGCTATAGGTAGGGCGCAAAGCAATTTGTATAACGGTAAGTCTAGACATATCCGTCGTAGACATAATACCGTACGTCAATTGATCACAAATGGTATTATTTCTATTGACTATGTGAAGTCTAAGGAAAATTTGGCTGATCCTTTGACGAAAGGATTGAATAGAGATCAATTGACAATTTTGCTAGAGGGAATGGGCTTAAAAATTCAAAATGTAAAGAATGATCATAGTGGCAACCCTACCATGTTGAGTGGAGATCCCACGAACTTGGTTCAAAGGGAAAACTAAGCTATGAAAATTCAGTCGAGCACTTGGAACATATGAATGTCCAAAGCTATTCCCTAGAGCACACCAAGTGCAAGATTACCTGTTGATTGTGGTGAGGGTAAGTCATGTGGACTTTTAATGAATCCCTAACCTTGTAAAGGTGGAGTATGGCAGGACCTATATAAGTGTGAAATGTGGGCCGCTTCAAATGTAAACACTTATGAATTCATTGTGTTGTCCATGGCCAAAACGGACACAACGATAGAACGGAATGGATTTAAGACTCTATTGTGTGAATGTCATTGTCTCGGTGTACACTATGGAGGAATAGTTCAAGGCATTATGTCCACTAGGCCGCCAGTACATCCGATGATGTTTACTAAGAAAGGTTCAAAGCCAAAAGCTACCTTTTCTGATGCAATAGAATTTTGTGAGGATTGAGCACAAGAGTTTGTATATATGTGTATTTCTTTATTTTCTCTTTTGTGGGGGAATGTCAGAAAAGATAAAATAAAAGGGGCGGTGCCGCCCCACATGCACCGCCCCATATGCCAAGTGTTAAAAAAAAATGTTAAAATATTGCAAATTGAATTGCAATTGATCAGATTTGATTCTTTCATTCGCCTATAAATAGGCATACTCGGCAGAAGGAGAAAGTGCACCAAAGAAGAGAGAAAAATAGAGGAAAGAAAGAGAAAGGAAAGAAAAGATAGATTTATGTCCAAATATCGGATATAAAAATATCAAAAGAGAGAAACAAGTGATATTTTTATTTATTTTAAGATATCCTTTTATTTTTAAGTGCTCAATTCTCGACTTCGTTCTTGTTCGCCGGAGCTCGTAAATCTGGTTTGCTACAGATTTAGAGACGTTTGCCGTTGTATCTTTGGGGAAGTTACGCCTGAACCGTTAGCCGACACACGAGGCGTATTCTTCTTGCAGAAATAGTTTTTTACTCGCCTCGGCTAAAATCTTTCCGCTTTTCAGTTGTATTTTATTTTTCAGTTCAATTGTAATTTTCTATTTTTTTAGATTATTTGTAAGAATTGAAAATACATATCAGTTCGTAGGATTCCCGTGTAATTTTACAAACAATTCCAACAAACTTTTGTGATAACTTTTGTATTTATCCTCATTTTATAACGATATACTGTTAAACTATCTCAAAAAAAAATTCATGTTGTTTTTTAGATATTATTATTTTGTTTTGTTGTTACTTAAATGTTTTTCATAATATATATTATTATTTTTTTAAGTTATAAAAACTAATGTTTGTGTTGTTTTTTTTTAGCTAATTTAATGGTTATGTAGGTATATAACTAGCTGATTAATTTTTTATTTATATTTTTTTTGTGTTTTTATTCCTAGGCAAATGTTTGAAGAAGAAGAAGAAGAAGAAAAGGAAAAAGAGAGAGAAGAAATAAATGGAGCAAAAAAAAGAAGAGAGAGAAGAAGAAGAAATCGTGAAAAAAGAAGAGAGAGAAGAAATAAATAGAGTAAAAAGAGGATGAGAGAGATAAGGAGCAATTAATTATTGTAATTGTTGTATTGATTATTTGCAACTTCCATTTGTAACTGCTGGTTTTGTTTTGGAATGAATTGGCGTCGTTTTGGAATTCTCCCAAATCGGAATATTTATGAAAATGGTTTTTAATAGGAGGTTATATATGTCTTTTAGCCATGAAAATTTCTCTTGCATTTTGTACTTTAAAGTTTGGACTGTAAGTTTGATACTTGGACTTTGAATGCCAAAATGAACGAGCCCAAACACATATTTCAAGCCCAACATGCTACGTAGGCCCTAAACTTTATTTTACTAAAAGCTAACGCACACGATTTTCTTTAGTAAAGGGATAGATATGTAGACCTCTTTCTCAAGTGATGTAGGACACTAGAACTATATGATGCCCAACTATTTATTGTCTTTGAGTCTTTAACAAAATGAAAGAAAGTGGCAACAAAATGAAAGAAAGTGGCTCGTCCCACTTCTATTTTTTATTTTTAATTTCTGTCAGCAAATAAAATAATACATATTTATACAATGGACATATAAGGTATTATTTTTTTTAGTTAGTTTAAGCATTTAAATATTTTAAATTGACTTAATATTTAATTAATAAAGCTTTTATACATAAATTTTATTATATAAAATGTTATATGTATTAAATAATATTAATAAATTAAATACTGATCCAATCGATTCAACCACTGATCGAACAAGTGAACCATTAAACCCGTAGTTTGATCGCTTCGATGATTGGTTTGATTTTCATAATATATATATATATATATATATATATATATATATATATATATATATATAATTGCTGGCAGATGCATTAAATAAAACATATTTAATAAAACCTTCATAATTTTCTTGCTCATTTTTTCAATCAATGCAGAAACGTTATATTTTACACTAATAAAGTGTAATAACAATTTTAAACTAAATTAATATACAATATTACTACTAACACTAACTGATTATAATTTTACATTAAATAGTATACAGAAGTTACATACTTATAAAAAATTGTATTGCAATTTCTTTTTATTTAAAATACTTTTTCTAAAATAAAATATATTTGGTATTTGTAAGCGATTTTTATCTAATATTAGTTGATTGACATGAGTGTCATAATTAAACACTTAAAATCATTTAGACAATTGCTATGACAATGACAAAAATAATTGTAATACTTTTCTAACTAACTAAATATATGGTCTCTTTAGATTACTAAATTATATTGTCTATTAAAATTTATGGCATCAATATAAATATTTATAAGTAAGTTAAATAATTTATATTTACATTACACATTTGCATATAGTCAAAATTTAAAATGTAATACATTCATTATCTAATATAAATTGTATGCATACATATACTATATAAATTTTTAATTTTTTTTTTATGTGCACAGAATGAATACTAGTCTAGCTTGTACGGGTAGCTACAGTAACCCTGGTAAAATTTTAAACTTTGAGTTTGCATTCATAGCTAACTCGTGCTTGAATGTGTGTATTTATTTATTTATTTTTTCCATTTTTTAATTTTTGTTTTTCTGTTTTTTATCTTTTCTTTTTCCTTTCTATCTTATTGACTAAGTTTCACATGGGCTGGCTCCAACAGAATAACTTTCTTTATACATATATATGACGAAATCAAAACCGGCAATACCTAATTAATTTGTCCCCCCAACAAAAATTATAATATTCTCTTAAAATTATCTATATGTAGAATTGTAAGCCAGCAAGACAAATTCACATGTTAGTTGAGACTTTGAAATATAAAACTTGAGAGCTATGTAGTGTGTTTTGTATATGAAAAATTTCAATTTATATTCAATTTATACTTAAAATTCAACTCAATTTTAACTCAACATATACATCACATCAATTTTAATTTAAATACATCTACTCACGCGTAAATACTTTATATCATCACTCACATATTTTTACATCAAATCAATTTTAATTATTTTATTTTAAATATTATTTTAATATAAAATCAAAATCTCCTAACAACTAACTATATTATTGTTTTCAAAATTAAACCTGGTCAACTAGAAAAACTCATTTTCACATATTTAGGTTGGTGTTTTTGGTTTGGGCATTTAGCCCCTGTGAGCCTGCGGGCATTACTCCGTTTGGGGTCGTTCCACATTACCTCGCTTGGGGTCGTTCCACATCACCCCGCTGGGGTCGTTTTTTCGTTTTGTCTGTGTTTTGTCTGTGTTTTGGTTCTTGTGTTGGGGTTTGAGTAGTTTTCTTTCTAGCATTGCTAGCGATTCTAGGCGGACCTCGGTCTAGCCTCTCAATTTGTACCTTCGCATATTTGTGCGCTTATCTATAGTACTTCTATCGTTTCGGACAAAAAAAAAGAAAAACTCATTTTCAGGAACATATTTGTGTTGATCTGAAATTTTATATAGTCATGGAATGATATTCTTATTGAGTCAAAAATCACTTTAGGTATTGACGCCTCTCAAAAGTGGATTTATTGTATAACACATGTCAATTCACTATTTATTATTAAGTACGAATGATTCTACGAGAAAAGGGTTGTATCGATATCTTTTAGACTAGACATGGTCGCGGACTGCACCGGTACCTGGCTCGAAAATATGCGGTTCCGAGAACCGGGACAGTGCCCTTCCAGTTCGGTCTCGATTCACTTTCTTTTTTGTCCCGGCAGGCCAGGACCGGGTCGGGACCGACCCGGTTCTCGAGCCCGACCGTTGGTTTTTGACGGGTCGGTCAAGGGCCGCCTGGCCGGCGGGCCTCCGGCCCGTTTGACTGGCCATCTCTATTTTAGACCAGTCAAATTTCCCCAAATGGAGAAAGAAAGATGAGCTTGGGAGCAGCAAAACGTGTGTGGGTGTGACTGTGTTTTTAGTCCAATTCCAAGTTAGAGCCGTGAATCCCCCAACTAACTCAACGCTGTCATTATGGCTCTCCCTCTACCTATTTCAACCACTGTTATTTTCAGATTTTTTTTCGAGTCTCTCTACATAGTACATACACATTAATCTCCTCAAACATTCATGTTGATCTGTTGCGGTCGAGTATTCAGGAGGTGGGTTTCCTCCTTTACCTCAGCTTTTCCTCAATCCGGACTCCTCTTCAAGCTGCTTGCTAGATGCGTCGTAGCTTGTCTTACTTGTATTTTTGCTCTAGGTAAGTCTGAATTTTTTTCCGGATTCAAGGCTCACTTGCTTGATGCTTAGTGTGGGATTTGCTTCTACTTTTTTTTTTTTGGGTTTCATTTTTATTTTATAAGCATGAACGGACACCGATTTCTGTGCATATCACAACCTGTTTGATGAAATTCCCCTGTCGTGTGTGTGTGTGTGATCAATTTTCTTGTTAATGAAAGAAATGTAACCCAAGAAAGCTAGCTTCTTTTGTGCTGATTTTGTTGCTTTGGCTCCGTGCATGGTGGTTTGTACTCGGTGGGATTTGGGCTATGTGTCTATGCAGGTGGAGCTACCATAGGAGTATTTAGTGGAGCTCTGAAAGGGCAGACCACCGAGACGGGCCTTCTGCGTGGTGTCGGTGTGGGGGCAGTGGCAGGGGCTGTCACGGCCGTCCAGTTGATTGAGCTTATATTGGATGGAGAACAATTTTCCAAGGTCATTCATATACACTATATATGTATATATAAATACCACTCTTAACTATTTGTTATACTCTGCAATATGAGTGAGAATAATAAATCTTTTTCAGTCAGTGAGCATTTTGCCTTTTGTTTTGCATAATACAGCCTATGGAGGCACCAAAAGGAAAGTCATGTGCTTTACAAGTTATGAAAAGGGTTAGTTGCAAAATGAAACGCAATCATTGACCGGATTGAGAGACAAACCTTTTAGAAATTGTAGAAAAATGCCTCACTTCGCCTCTTGGTAGCATCTCGAGACCAAGATGCGTTTGCAGCAAAATCTTACCTGTGTCTGGTTAAATTAGGTGACGAGTCATTTTAAAAAATTATGATATGTTTTGTGTAAAGTAAAAGATTTTGTCAATCATAGAAGTTCATACCAACCAATGGATTAGTGGAATGCATGGGTTAAGGAGATTAATGGTATTTGTACCTCTTACAAACAGATGTGTACCACTTTGATATTATCGTGTTTATTATAATCATAAAAATAGAAGTACTAATAGATTCATGAGATTAACCAAGTGATTAGCAGTGTGGAAGCTTATATGTTGCTCCTAGTAGCAAAGGTTGGAATGTGATTCGTAAGAGTTGGTTTTAACCAAGTGTTTTTGTTGCTTCTCCAGTTAGCATTGGTTTGCAGCCTGGTGAATGGAAAGATATTTATGGAATGGGTCAGTCCAGCTGTGTTAAAAGCATATCAGTGGCAGGTAATCAATCAATCAATTAAGTAAATCAGTTTATTAACTTTTCAAGTTGTAGGTAATGGATATTTGGATCAACATTGTTGGAACTAAATGATATGAATTGTTTTTGTGTCAGATTAACACTATGGAAACAGGTTTCAGGGAAATTTCGGACATATTTGAAGTGAACCCCGTCAGAGGATTATCTCAAGATGCAATCGAGGAGCTGCCAAGTTTCATGTTTAGTGCTGCAGAGGCTTTCGTACCATGTCAGGAAGCTATTTGTTCCATTTGCTTACAGGTAGCTCTCTCTAGCAATTGGTTTGGTGTTTAGTTAATAATCAAGAAAAGATCGATCATGAAAATAAAGTTTGTAGATGATAATGGAAGGAATTAACATTTTAGACCAGCAATGAGCTTGCACATTAGCCTAAGCTGTCACTATATAACGGCCGATTACCCTGGCTCGTATAAGTTAGTTATGTAAATCCTTAATTGGTTCTAGACTCTGGGATCCCATATATCAAGTGGTCAATAATCTTGCTATCTTATATTTATTCTTTCTAAAATGTATTAGTAATTTCCTTCCCTTTTATGTCTATCGTTTGGTGTCTTTTAACCCAACGATAATGAGTCTTTTCTCTTTATTTATAATGTTCATATTGAAATTCGTTATGCTGAGAGTTGTTTTTGAGGACCAAAGTCACTTACACATCAACATAATGAATGTTGCAAATTGCAAAAAGGGTACTAAAACAAGCTTTGTGTTGAGGTTCTTTTGGTATTAGATTGATTAGAATTTGGGATATTGTGATTAGAGATGTTTGTCTGAGTTTTGTATCCTTGCATGATTTTAAATGCTGTGGGTATTTAGTTGCTAATGTCTAATCAAATTTCATTTATTGCCAAAGGTCGATTTGAAAGTAAAATATTCATGCTTTCCAACATTAATGTGTTCTCTAGGATTTGAAGCGTAGAGAATATACAAGGCTGCTGCCTGGATGTCGGCATTTATTCCACCGGCGCTGTATAGATGAATGGCTTGTCCGGCAGGGGACCTGTCCAATTTGCAGAAAGGATGTGTAGACTATATCGAAAGAGGAAACAAAATGAAACTATTATGAAAAATTGCGGTTAAAATGGTTCAAGAATTTTATGTTCATGAATCAGACAGACCACGGAGACTTGAAGTATCCTAGTATTGTAAGCATATATATAGTTGAAGTTGTAATCACTATAGACTTGAACTATCCTAGTATTGTACACATATATAGTTAAAGTTGTAATCACTATAGCCACTTTGTGTGGAAGCCGCAGTTATCTGTTAATATGAGTTTTCTTTTACTATTTATGTGCTAGAGACTAAAGTGTCGGCATTAACGGTTTCCTCGCCTGTGAAGCATAGACGAATATGTTGTCAATGCTTCATATTGATGCCATATTTGAATAATAATTAGAAGATTTTGAAAAATTAGAGGTTTGAAAGGATTTGATATGTTAATTCTTTGAATGTGCAATTTGGTAAGAGTTTGATATGCAAATTAATTTCGAACCAGGTTAAAATGCTAACACCACGAATGATCATTCGCCTTGAGCTCAGGTAACCTGCAAATCACACAGGAGGGAGGTGTCTCGGCGGAATGATGCTCAAGTCAGAATTTCGCTCACGAGTATATGGAAACTGTATGCTAAAGGCGTAAGAATGCGTAGTGTAAAAATAAAACTTGGTAACCCTTTATATAGTCCGGTTATCTTTTTGCTCAAGTGCAGTCCTTAATAAGAAAAGAGAACTAATCATATCTTTTTTCCTACCTTAGCAGGTCTTTGAAAATTTAGACTCCTTAGCCGATACACTTAACATCTTCATCATATTTTTTTTTCTTAGCTTAGCAAGTCTCTGGAGTTTTAGACTTCTTAGCAGATACACTTAACATCCTCAACATGATCTCGTTCCCTCTTATTGTACGACTCTCAGGTTCTTGGATCGTTCCCATAAACTCATGACTTATTCGTCGTAGGTTCTTATCAGATCGAAACAACAACCTCTACCAGTACGACCTCAAGGTCATACAGACCCCTCATCTATCCTAGCTCCTAGAGGAATTCGATCCCTTTAATCTTATTGTATTTAATTGATGTTAAGTTGCATCAATTGGTAACATCCACTTAAATGTGGTGGTGTTACAACCTCATCTCCATTAAGTATGGAGTTATGAGAAGTGTGTTAAGTCTTCATTTAATTTGAGTTCCATGAAGACAAGTATAAATATGATGCTTTGTGCATCATGAAAAGACACTACGAGACAAAGAAATAAACTAGAAAAATATACAAATATCTTTATATAGTGCTTATCTCTTGTTGAGCCGAAACTATCAAGGCGGCTCGGGTTTTAGAACGTGGAGGATACCGACGACTCTAGTAGCTGTCGGATAAAAGATACGGGCAAGTTTTCGTTTCTGCTACATAAAGGTTAGTCCTATATATTTATATATGTGTTATATAAAACCACTAACAGTGGTATCAGAGCCCGTTTATTCCTCCGACGTACTTTTTGTAAAACAAATATATTTATATATTTGTTACATAAAATTCATTCTATTGATTAAATAAGTGTTAAATATAGAATGTGTCATTCATGAATTTGTGATCATGAAAATGACATAAAGAGATAATTAAAAAAATGATATATGGGGGAATAACTAGGTTTTGCGGCCTAATTATTATATGAACAAAGAATAAAAATTATTATTATTATTCTTTGTTTAATAATAATATTTGTTATTATTGTGGTTTTTAAATATTAATATGGTATTCATGTTTACCGTTATATAAAAATCATTTTGAAATTATCATAATATTTGTTATTATGATGAAAAGAATAAATCCATATTTTAGTAATATTGTGCGGCTTCTTATTATTATTTAAATTATCTAAGTGATATTTAAATAATTATTTAATATGATACATGAATATATGTTATTCATGTTATTACACGTAAATGTCTTTGTGATGTTTACATTTATATAATACATGAATGTATGTTATTCATGTTACGAGACTTAGTAGATATCTTTGTGATGTTTATAATTATGATACATGAATATTTGTTATTCATGTTAAGAGACTTAAATATCTTTGTGATATTTATATTTGTGTTTATTTGTTAAACAATAACATGAATAAATGAATATGTTTCACTAAAATAAGGTTAATTAAATTATATTTATTTTTGTTTGTGTTATTTGTGATGATTATGAGCTTGGCGAAATTTTCGAACTCATGGCATAAACAAAAATAAAAATAATAATTTAATTATATTGACCTCATGCCTAAAATCCAATTTATATACTTGTAGATGACAACTAAATCTATGATTGGAGATTTGTCTTCCAACGAAAAGGTAGATGGTACCAATTACGACATCTGGCATAGGAAGATTCAGTATCTTCTTAATGAACGCGAGGTTTTGGAAACCTTGTCCACTACTGTGATTGAGCCAAAGGATACTGCTAGTGCGCAGTACAAGGAAGAATTGACAACCTATCAGACGTGGTCCAAAAAGGATCGTTCTGCACGCTATACTATGTTGTATTGCATGCATAATGACCTTATTGGAGAGTTTGAGAATTGTCCCACGGCTAAAGACATGTGGGAGAAGCTTAAGGTCACCTTTGGGCAAACTTCGGCTACTAGGCTCCGTGCCTTGAATTTAAAGTGGATGGATTACAATATGGATCCTAAACACTCTGTTGACGAACATTTGCGTGTCATGGGTGCCATGATACGTGACCTGAAAGCTGCGGGACGAGATGTATCTGACGAGGAGCAAGTTCTAAATGTGGTTCGTTCACTTCCAAATGATTCTGAGCATTGGAAGAACTTCAAGCTCCTCATGGCTCATAGCGAGAATGTAAAAACTTTTTTAGAACTCGCTAAACATATTGAAATGGAAGTAGAACGTCAAAGAACATTAGCACCTTCCAATGTTGCATTTGTTGCCCATGGCGGCCAAGCCAAGGGAAATGAACGCAAACGAGCCAAGAAATTTTCTCGTCATTCTCAAACTTCTGGATCAAATGGTGGTTCAAAGAAACAACTTATGGCACATGGCCAAAGGGAGAAGAAAATAGCGCGTGTGAAGTGCTATAATTGTGGACAGAAAGGTCATTTCGCTCGTGATTGTGCTGAGCCGAAAAAGGTACCTTCTACCACTAACTCTGTTGAACTATTTGTTTGTTCTCATGCATTAGTTGCTAATTCTATTCCTAATTGGATTATAGATACGTGAGCAAGCAAGTACATAGTTCATGAAAGATCTGGATTTGTGGAGTTCCACCGGCTTCCTATTGGCACTCAAACTGTCATGTTAGGAAATGGGAGCGAGGAAGATGTCCTTGGGGTTGGAACATACCAATTTAAACTCCAGGGTGGAAATACACTACTTCTGCATGATACTCTCTATGCACCTAGGGTGCGAAGTTGTTTACTTTCAGTTGTTTTCTTGTTAAAACTTGGTTTTTCCTTTAACTTCAATACTAGCGGTTTGGACATTTTGTATCATGACAATTTATTCGGACATGATATTTTAAAGAATGGTTTCTTTGTTCTTGACTTGGATGAAAGTTATAATGACTCATCACATGCTTTTGCTTCATTTTATAATGTTGATTCTGAATCAGTTAAATGGCATGCGCGACTTGGTCATATTGGTCAAGATAGAATGTCAAGACTAGCTAAAGAAGGACATTTGGGACAATTAACTAAGGTTAAATTGCCTAAATGTGAACCTTGTCTAGCTGAAAAAGCTACTAAAAAGCCTTTTGGTAAGGCATCAAGAGCATCAAATCCTTTAGAGCTGATTTATTCTGATATTTGTGGGCCTTTAAATATAAAAGCTCATCATGGGGCTACATATTTTATTACCTTTATATATGATTATTCACGTTTTGGGTATGTGTACCTATTATCTCATCGACACGAAGCACTTGATACGTTCAAACGTTTCGTGGCCGAAGTTGAAAACCAAAAGGAACGAAGAATTAAGACTCTTCGTACTGATCGGGGACGTGAATACCTCTCTGATATGTTCAAAGAGTTTTGTGAGACTAAAGGTATTTCAAGGCAACTTACGGTTCCTTATACTCCGCAACAAAATGGTGTTGCTGAAAGAAGAAATCGTACATTACTGGACATGGTTAGGTCGATGATGGCGCAAGCCAATCTCCCTATTAAATTTTGGGGAGATGCGTTGCTTACGGCAACATACATCCTTAATCGTGTACCAAGTAAAAGTGTGTCACTCACTCCATATGAGTTGTGGAATGGGAAATCACCCATTTTGGACCATTTGCGCCCTTGGGGTTCGGCTGGCTATGTGCATAACCAAACTCACAAGTATGGAAAGCTTGGTCCAAGAGCTACCAAAATGGTGTCCATTAGATACCCTGAACATTCAAAAGGGTATGTTATGTTTGGTGAACATCCAGATAGTGGAATGATTGAGATAGACTCACGCAATGCCGATTTTCTTGAGGATGAGTTCCCAAGTATTGGTGAATTTAAGAGAGACCTTCAGTTGTATGAGTTACAACAAGCAATGCAATTATCTTTAGGAGATGAGGGGGATATGTTACCTCAACAGGTCTCCAAAGATAATGAAGTTCTTCTAAATTCCATTAGTGAAATACAAGTATCTTTAAGAGATGAGGGGGATGTGTTACCTCAACAGGTCTCCAAAGATAATGAAGTTCTTCTAAATTCCACTAGTGAGAAATAAACTCAAAATGAGGATGAGCCTCATAGAGAAGAGCACGAGATAAGTCATCGAGCTCATAGTCCCATGCCTCTCGAGGACAGTGGGAGAAATTTTTCTACTAGTTTGGAAAATAATGAAGGTCCTACATTGAGAAGGAGTGATCGTGGAAGAATTCCTCGTCGATTTTTTCAAATTGAGGAGGATGTATTTCTTTGTACTCCTTTAGAAGTAGATGAACCGAACCCTTATAAAGAGGCAATGAATTCACCATACCATTCAGAATGGAAAGATGCAATGAATGATGAGATGGACTCAATGATTAAAAATAA